TACGGACCAACTTGGCCAACTTTTTGCAGTCGGTAGTGATCCATATCCGGTGAATAGAGTCACCAAACACTTGGCGCAGCTTTTTCTCATTCTTGTATTCATCAGGGACTGACATGAATAAAACTGTCCTCGAGGAGATCCGATTTACATATGCGGAGGAGTTGAGGTATGCTTGACGGAGATTGGCATAAAATATACTCTCCCGCGTTACCACGTAGAATACGAACGCTGTTGAGACGGTTAGTGACTCTCACTCTCATAACATCAGCGTTCACTTACTGAAAAAGACAATCGCCATCGCGACGTGAGCATAATAGCGCTTCGGGTTTTTCACGTTGCTAAAACTCAATGCATCGAGCTGAGTGTTACCTGCACCACCAGTTGCATGGACAGGAAGCAAGATGGGCCATGTAATCAAGCATCCCGTGAAGCATGTAGCACACAGCACTCTCAGGAATCGAAGGAAAAGATAACCGTCCATAGAGGAGGAATGAAGGACGTGTGCATCAGAGATCTTGAGAAAGTGCCCAAACCAATTAATGAAACCTGAGGGCAGCTCAGGACTCCGTTCACTGGGAAATCTGTTAGCATGAATGCAGAGGAAGTGTGGCTTTAACTTAACTTACTGCTTGTGCCAATTGGGTAGATGTGTCCTAGGCGCGTACCACCGAAGCTGAGTTCGTCGACAGATCAGGAACAGACCGAACCAAAAGACTGCGATGATCAAGGCAGGAACTAATGTGGTAACAAGTGCGGAAAGGGACGTTGAATCTTTGACACCCAGATTTTCCATAGCCTCAGAAGTTGTTGAGGAGGCATTACCCCGGGAAGACCCTACGTTAGGGTCATTCTCAGGATTCTGTCAGTAGCAGGATTAGCCTCATTGGTATCTCACAAGGGTTACAGTTTTGCTCTTTGTGCTCATCGTACAAGAAGGTCTGACCGCTTGACAAGCAAGTCGAATAGTGTCGCTTCAACCATAATGGCCGTCAGAAAGCTAGCTCATGGCCAGCTAGATCAATTCTTTGGTAGAGACTTGGGGTCCAGATCCTACAACAACATTGCACAGGCGTCGGTTCAGGAACATATATTCTCGGACAGACCGGCCCACCCTCATGACTAAAATATGCAACTCAGCTTGTCGAAACTGTCAGTCAAAATGGGGGGAAGGCACCCGAGGCTAAAGTATGTAGACCTGCAGGTTGACAGGAGTGCTATTGGCGGACCGGCCCAACCCAAACATCAATGGGAATGTGTGTGAAAGGGTAAAAATGTCGATTATCTCCAGTCACAACCTTTCTGATTGGTGGGTCACAAACGACGAGAGGGTAGCAAACCCACAGTGACATGTTCGTGTGGGCTACAGCTCGCTCCGCGTGGTAAAGGACCAGGATAGACTAACTGGAAAGATTTTAAATTTCGGTGGAACATGCATTAGGGGTTGGCTACTGGGACCACGGACCCAGAGAGACCGTCGAGATTTAGTAGTCGATAGTTTCCCATAATCTTGAGGATGGTTCATCCAATCGCGATAGGGCATTGTAGTGATCGCCGATCCTCAAAACTCTGCTAAAAGTACCGCGAAGTAAGGAATGTCTGCCACTGAGCTTCAGCCAAGCTTCTACAATTCCCTGCCACAGCAATTCGCATTGTTAGGATGTATTGTAAGGCATCGACATGAGTCTCTGCTTTGCACCTTGCGTCGTCATGAAATTTCTTTTGACCGGCCACAAGAGTTTTCCACGTCGCTAACTGTGGGTTGTATGCGCTAATCAGATGCAAATCGCCACAGGGGTAAAAAGAAGGGAACGCGGCCGAGTCGAATTAGCGTAATCTCTATCCATCGCAACAATCTTTTAGATTATCTGTGCCTGGCGCGTATCATTGGCGGTGACATGTACCAAGTGGGTTCGAGCACTAAAAAGGCATGTAAACGAAAGAAGATCCGTTCCATGGGTCGAACGACAACTGATCCGATCCAATCAGTTCAGCACCACTGGTGTCAACAAATCCAGACGTGGACCGTTGGAGGACACGTACGCAAGGGATAAGTACTTTTTTTGGCAACCGAACAATGAGCAAAATACAAATCGTCTGACTCGTGGTCGTTCGCTTAGATGGTAAACGGCGGACGACGCAGGATTGGTCTTGCATGAATAAAAGTGAAACCAGGAAATCGTGGTTGTCCTGCTCAGAACCTCGCCTGGCTGGAACCATATTCCGGTCGACTAGTATTAAATTAACATCTGAGACACGCTGGATCAAATCTTGAGCTTCCGAGTCATTCCCGAAAAGCGGGGACAAGGCCTCTGGATTTGGAAGGAATAAAAAAAAAAAAAAAAAAAAAAAAAAGGGAAAGGAAAAGAAAAGAAAAAAGGAAAGTGAAGCCAGAAGCTGAGACCTTGACTGATTTCCCTTTGCCGCCTACGGAGTAGACGGTCTGGCGACGTGACATGCAGCATTTTATCGTTACATACCATCCCCACTCAACATCATATATGATTGACTACTACGGAGTACTAGTCTGTAGGGTTGGTAGGCAACCATACAGGAAGAGTGTATAGCATTCCTAAGAATGGAGCACCTCATCTCGAATGTTCGTCAATGGTGGCCTCGCCCAGGTGCAGTCGAAGCAAGTCACATTCTTAGGCATTATCATTCCGCCCGTGCCCATTCCATTCGAGAAATATGATTTGCGAAGTAGATTCAAATAGGGTTGTCTTGCATTTTGCGGTAAGGCCCAAGAGAGACGAACGGAGTTGAGAAGCAAGACAAATCCGAATCAATGCTTCCGAACTAGTCCGTCTATATCAGACAGATCAACCCGATAAAGTTCATATAGTTTTGCTTGGATACATCCGATACCAGGTATTCATCATCTTCATTGAGCCTGATCCTTGCATAAACATAGTAACCGCAAAGCTCAAGAATTGTTGTGCCTAGAATCTCTCAATTTGAAATCTTTGATGAGTTCATGCATCCCTGAAACGAACGTTGGGCTTGTTTCGCGTAAACTGACTTCTACGCGACTTGGGGAATCCCTAGCATACGCTACTACTAGAAAGGCATGTTACCTTCGCTTGCGATCTAGATGCTATAAACTCCCCGTATTACAATCTTCTCGGGTGCTTGTTCGTCTGACAATTGCTCTGAAGATGTTGACAACTTGACATTGGCCTTGAGCGGATGGTCATACCAAGTTTATATATATTATATACTATACAGCGTGGTCAAAGCCTTGTGGGAACTTAAGGATGGCAAGACAAACTTGTTCTGGCGTAAAAGTGCATATGCAGATGTACTCGTACTCCCTTCATTTCTTTTAGCTCTTGTATAGAGTGGTAATTCACCAGCCTCCCTATGATGCTTGGCAACCTACAATCTAGATCTATACCATACCTAAATCCTTAATACGCCGAGGAATAATAGGCGGTGAACAATGGCAGTATACAATGATCGACTGCGACTGCGACTACGACTTTCTGATGTTCATGCTCTGTTTGACGCAACCTTGTCCGAAGAGATGTCATTTACTAGCGAAGAGCAACATATGAGCTCAGACAGAATAACTAACGACTCTGGCTCCCACTCCGCGCTGCCTCCATTCGAATCGAAACAACCATTTCCCCCTCTCTCGGCAGATGATCTAGCAATCACTTCTCAAGATGCACCAGATACCAACTTTACGGAAGACGATCCAGATATAACATCACCAGACGTTGAGGAGGAAGATTATGATGCGAACTTTCAATCACAGTACTCATTAGACGACCAATTATTCTCCGATGCGTCCACAGACGAATCGGACGGGCAATCACCGGAAGACGATGGCATCGAGATACATCCATTTCGCCATTCTTCAAGTTCACTTCACGGTCCCAATGCATTCGCTCCCCCTTTTTACAATAGACCCCCGACGCCTCTGCCGCCCTCTCCTTCTTTGACCTCTCTTCTGCGACCACCTTTCTCGACAACTACTTCCCGACCAACTACCCCTGACAGTTCTGATGTCGAAACACCGAACGATACAGAAGCAGCGGTTGCGAAGTCAGCACGTCGCGCGACAACTGTTCCTCGAGCAAGTCCGAAGGTTCCCACGTATGAGTATTACGGCTTCGTTCTATATCTCGCCTCTTCGTTGGCATTTTGTAAGTGCAAACAGTGGCTACTGTACCCGGAGTTCATGTGGACAGTTCTGACACCTTTCTCACAGTACTATACATCCTCTGGTCCTATCTTCCAAAACCGTTTTTACACCAGCTTGGAATAACCTACTACCCGACTCGATGGTGGTCACTAGCCATCCCTGCGTGGCTCGTCATGACCATCGTCTACATCTACATTGCGCTTGCCTCTTATAATACCGGTTACATGACGCTGCCAATGAACAGCGTTGAGAACATCGTGGATGAAGTGGCGAATGTTGCTGTGATAGATGGCAAGGGTAGGAGACGACCTGGTGGTGCGGCCAAGATGAAACCGGGTGCAACTTCATACCAAATTATGGGCCCGCAGAATAGGAAAGTCAACTGGAGGGAAATCTGGAGCGAGGGCACTGATGCCGTCTTGGATGTTCCTGTGGGAGGGGTGTGCGAAGTCTTATACGGCCAAGGACGGGATGACGATGAGGTATGCGAAGAATATGACTTCGTTGGTTGACGAATTAAGCATTGAACAGGATATATAGCGATTTCGAATAGCGCATTAATCTTGATACCCCTTGTTTGTTTGTGCCTGTGTGATCGGAGGTTCTTATTGCTTCAACCAGCTCGTAACACATGTAGAGGGGCTTTTATTTGTAGGAGTATGCAATATTGGAGACATTCAAAAGTGTTGTAGTATCTGCGAGTCTTGAACAAGTGTAATGACTTGATGCTACTCGGGTAGTTGACTAAATCTCTTGACCTTTTTACTAGTAGCTGTATTGATCGTTTCCGACAGGTTCATTCATTCCGAAATATATATTGGCATGTTTGGATTTCGACAGAGGGTTATAAACTACAACCGAGTCGTTGCGAAGTGATGACGATATTTATACAGATTGCATAAGCCACTGCGCACTTCCGCTCACTTAACATATGCTGTCATACAATCAATGCACCTGCTATCGTTCTATCATGGATAATCCCTTACTCTTCTCTTCAATCCGACGGCATACTATATCCCACCAATCAACGCTTCGTTCAGTTTTCTTATCATCACGTGAAGTGGCGATACGAGCTATCGATAACGGGCCTTGAAAGACTCACCTTTTCAATCACCATTAATTGCATCCTCGACGCGTGGCAAGAGCTCTAGAAAGCCTTGTTGTTCAAAATGGCAGACCGTTCGACTCCGCCGCCGCAAACAGGCAGTTCAAAGCCCGGTGAGCTCCCACGGGCACCACTTACGCCGGAGCAGCTGCGGAAAATTGTATGCACACCCGACGCGATCTATGGATATTTGGCTGACATCGGCCAATGTATAGGAAATAAACCGCATGAAAGCAAAAGCGATACGGGAGCAACGGGAGGCGGAGGCTCGGACATCGGCTCATGTTAGCGGTGCCGCGCAATCTACGAAAGGAGGAGTTAAACGGTCTTATTCTTCCATGACGGCTGAGACGCCTGCTACGGTTCGAGATGCGACTTCAGCGGCCCGTCCGCTTGATTCGATTAAGCCTGCGCGGAACTTCACGAAATACGTTGAATATGACTTCAGTAAGATGACGGATACGAAGGGAGGGTTTTTGACGGAGGAGGATGATCCCTTTAATAAGGCGCTTCATGTCAAGGATGGAAAGGAGGAACAGAAACCCGCGAATATGACGCAGAAGGAATGGGAGAGAAAACAGTTACTCGATTCTCTTCGTCGAAATCGGGCCGGTCCTTTCGAACCGGCCCTCAGCGTGTTGGATGAGAAAAGCAAGCAGAAGACATGTCGTGAATGTGGGAGTCTGGAGATTGATTGGAAGTGGGAGCAGGATCTTCGGTGTTGCGTATGCCACGCCTGCAAGGAGAAGTTCCCTGAAAAGTACAGTCTTCTCACAAAGACGGAAGCAAAGGAGGATTACCTTTTGACAGATCGTGAGTTCATCGCTGGCTTTCATGTGTGGATGAGTGCTGGATATTGACGTTATGCCTGCAGCTGAGCTCAAAGACGAAGAGCTTCTGCCCCATCTTGAAAAACCGAACCCTCACAAGTCGACCTGGAACAACATGATGCTTTACCTTCGCTATCAGGTTGAGGAATATGCCTTTTCGGCGAAGAAGTGGGGCTCTGCTGAAGCACTAGATGCGGAGTTTGAGCGACGCGAGACTGAGAAGAAGCGACGTCGAGAGGCCAAATTCAAGTCCAAACTACAAGATCTGAAGAAGCGTACCCGAGTCGATGCATATCGCCGTAGCCGTCAGGGAGCAACCGGGGGGAATTTCGGTGATGACCTGGGCAATGGTGGGAGACATGTGCACCAATGGGGTCGGTCTATTGAGAACCCCGAGACTGGAATCGGAGTCAAGAAGTGTGTGGATTGCGGGATGGAAGTGGAGGAGTTAGAGTTCTAGCTGATGGCAATTGTCCTGTATAATGTATAGAGTAATAGTATCTAATGAGTCACGAATTCATGAAAACCATAGGAGTGGATACATTTGGTCCATTGATAACGTTGCAGATTAAAAATAGTGACACGTTATGTTCGCGATAGTTTATTGGGAGATTTTTTGAACAGGTCAAAAAGCAACGGTGCTAAGGGTCAGTTGGGGTCGATGATTGGCGGTCTGAACAAGTCAGGTCCAGTTCCAGCTGTACTTCAGATCATGTCCTGTCAGTCCACACCCCCCTGAGGAACGTACTCTGGTTTAAACGTGCATTTAAACTGGAAAAATTTGTCTTCGGGATGTTTATGGCCAGCTCATCCTTTTCTCAACCCCTGACCACCACTTGATGAGGCTGGGAAAACAAACAACCCCCAAGCGCTAAAGGCGGTTAAGCCGCGTGGGCGTCTAAGGAGCCAACGAGAACACCACAGCATTTCCCCGACCTCAGCAGCGCAGCAGAACGCGCACCAGTCCAAGGCCACCTCCCGGCTCGACCTCTTTTGACGTCTACTCGAATTCCGTCGAACGGATTTCTCCGCCCTTTCGATTTCATCCATTGTTTTCGCTCCCACCGGTGTAGACACGGCCCGGGGAACGCTGTTTCCTGCCGCTGTCGCCCGTCCCGACTTTTGTTGGAATTACACCAAGAAAGTTTATCGCTGTGGGCACAACTTCACCGAGTTATTCACACCTCAAATTCAACCCTCCGACTTGGAAACTACTTTCGATTGATAATTAACGGCCTCCATAGCCCTGATTGTTGATTTCGCATGGCTTGGCAATCGCCCTCGGCCATGGTCGGGGCTGGAGGCTATGGCGGACCCGGGGACGGGTCCTCCAACGGCGGGCAACCTCAGGGGACGGAGTATACATTACAAGGTGTGTCATTTTTTTTTTGGAGCTTCCTAGAGACCTTAACTCATCATGATAATGAAACTAATCATTTTGGTGGCATCGCAGGCGTTATGCGCTTCCTGCAGACAGAATGGCATCGACACGAGCGAGACCGCAATGCATGGGAAATCGAGCGCGCAGAGATGAAGTCTCGTATAGGCAAGCTGGAAGGCGACGTGCGCACAAGCAAGCGTCTACACGAGTCTCTGGGTAAACACGTTAGGCTACTTGAGGCCGCGCTGAAGAAGGAGCGCGAAAAGGTCAAGAAGCTCAGCAACAATGAGAAGGTTGAGGACACCAGGGATCCCAAGGATATCGCTCGAGAGAGTATAAATGCCTTGAAATGTATGATGATGACCATTTCTGATGACGCGCTATGTACTGACTGAGTTCCTAGCTCAACGTCCTAAGCCAGCCATGGAACTCAACGAAGCCGAGTTGAACGACAATCAGCCTGAGTTCCGGCAAGAAAATGAACGGGAAAAATCGCGCCTTTATTTATCTAAATGCTCCCAAGAAGTGACTTACCACGTTATCCCTGCATCGCATCCTCCTCCCGACCTTAGCGATCCGGAGCTCCCAAACCATATGTACGGAAACCAACAGCTGTCTCAGCAGGCCCTGGAGGAAGCATACCACATTCAGCAGCAGCGTCAAAAGCAACAGCAACAACAGCAGCAAGCAAACCATATGATGGCCCGGGAGGTATCTCTTCAGAACCATCAGCCCATTGTGGCTCAATACCCTGAGAGTTCAGGGATATCTCGCCAGCCAAATCAGTTTGGCCTGCCTCCCGGTTCTAGAGAAGCCCTGGAAAGGAAACCTTTGGAACCGCAACAAACCCCAGCCACGGCTGTTGATAGTAGAAAGCAGGCTCCCGAACATATAATTGTGGATGAACGCACTGGTGCTGAGAAGCAAGCATATGATGTGTATGGTGCTCAAGGAGGGGCTAAAGAGGAGATACAGCCACAACAAGCAGAACAGCAACAGCAGGAGGACTCGGATGGTTGGAACTTTGACGAACCTTCCGAAAAAGAGCCCCCAACTGAACCGATGCCGCCTCATCGGCCAGACGTGGATGCTTTTCCTAACGCCAACTTTGTTCGACCGAAATCTCCTTCACGATCTGGATCGCTCTCCCATAGACGGAAAAGCTCAGGAGCAAGGAGTAAGAGCGAGGGATCGAGCGACAGCATCGGAGGAACATCCCAGAAACAGGAAACTAACTTCAAAGTTAGGTTTGCTTTGCGCGGACACCTGGATGTCGTCCGCTCTGTGATTTTCACCGGTGGTGGTAGTCCTTCGGAGCCAGAAATCTGTACTTGTAGCGATGACGGCACGATCAAGCGATGGATTATTCCAGCAACATACGGTAATTTTGGCTCCCATAATGCCAATTCGAGCAATGATCTGGATATAACTAGCTATTTCACACACAGAGGGCATGTTGGTGCCGTCACAGCGTTGGCCGCATGCTCTCCTTCCCGAGATTTCTCTAATGGAGGCCGCGCTTTGGGTGACGGCTGGGTATTCTCCGGTGGCCAAGACGCCAGTGTGCGTGTCTGGGAACGAGGAAGGATTGACCCTAAGGCCACACTTGATGGTCATACAGATGCTGTATGGGGTCTTTGTGTCCTCCCTGGAACTACTGGGTCTGTGTTCGGAGACTCTTGTGGTCATTACGGCGGCCCTGATCGGATCTTGTTGGCTTCGGGGGCTGCGGACGGTCAAATACTGATATGGGCAGTTAGTGCTCCACCTCAGCTCTCCTCGCCGCAAGCAGGGAATAGACGAGCTGGAGGAAGCCGGAGGGCAAATTCGATCTCGTCTGGTTCAAACTTCCCATCCTCACCGCAACCTAGCATGGCTACTTCAACGCCATTCCATTATACCCTCATTCACAAGATCACACGAAAGGATTCCCCGTCGCCCACCTGTATTAGTCCCTTGTCACTTGCCGGGGTGAACTTTGTGGTGTCCTTCTCGGACGCATCAATCATTGTCTATGATACGAGGACGGGCGAGGAAATTGTGGGAATGGCGAGCCTGGAGACGTACGATGGCACTCCTTCCACGGGTGTCAACTCTGTTGTAGCAACCACGGTTGGATTCGACGGGTCTGCTGGCCTTGATCCCAGCCGGATCTCGGGTGAAGAAGAGGTGGTTCACGGCGCCACTGGCTCGAGTGGTGTGGAAGGTGTCATAATAAGTGGCTACGAAGACCGGTACATCCGTCTTTTCGACGCTAATAGTGGTACGTATTATGTCGTGGAGAAACAAAGCCTGGTTACTAACAACTGGAATAGGACAATGCACTTATACTATGCTGGCGCACCCGTCCGCGATTGCGTCACTTTCCCTATCTCCAGATGGACGCGAACTGGTGTCGGCCGGCCATGATGCCAGTCTGCGGTTCTGGAACCTCGAGAAACGCAGCTGCACCCAAGAAATCACCAGTCACCGGTTGATGCGTGGTGAAGGCGTGTGTTCCGCCGTCTGGAGCCGCGATGGCCGATGGGTCGTTAGCGGTGGCGGCGATGGTCTGGTTAAGGTCTTCTCGAGGTAATCTTCGAGATAACGAGGGCTTCTACTGCCAATGTATGATTTTACTCTTATATTCGAGCTGATATTCTTCTTATGTCGTATTTCTTGGACGCATGAATGGATGAGCGCTTGGCGAATTCTTGAGCATTTCCAGTGGTCTCTTACCTGGCATATGTTCCCTTCTACACTTGTGGTTATAGTTTCTTTTTTATCTTCATAATCCGCTATCCCTTTTCAATTTCCCTAAACATATCCACCCTGCATTGCTGTTACTATTACTACCCCGGCTTATATGAAATGACGAAGGGTGTCTTCTGTGCTTTAGAGTTTTCATTATCTTTGTTCACACCAACTGGTTACATTCGCGATTCATGTACCCCTGTGACCCGTCATTTTGAGGTGCTTTGGCATCATGTGTGATGGCCACAACGGCATACCTTAAGCTGCCGCTCATCTAACCGTTATTAGCAGTCTTAAAACCATGATGATCCGCAGTTTGGCCTCTACACTCATGCCCTGTAATATAGTTTTCTTTTCTTTTCCGTTCTGCGGGCCTTCCGCTGATCCGAACATGGTCCCCTCTCACTCGCCGATATACCGTTGGGAATGATGCTAGACACTACAGCAACAGGGCAACCGGGATTCGATTCCAATCTACTCAGCAAGCCATAGAATACCACAATTTATGTAATATTAAAGGAATACCACTGAACGCTTGTTTATTCATGAGTAGGGATATCCGACATTGTATCCGGACCTTATGTTCTCATAAGAAGAGGTATCATAACACAACACCCAAGCCATACAAACCAAATAACTTACCGACTCGAACTCCAAGCCTCCTTAAACAAGCTCCTCAACTTCTGCGCCTCCTCATTATCCTTAATCCTCTGCGCCAGAAATCCCTCCAGATCCTCCCAGAACTCCTCCGTCTCCAGGACACTCTCCCCACTAGGCCCAAGAGCAGCCTTCGGCGACGCACCACGATCCACCATCTCCTGATCCTCATCGACAACCTTCGCACCGCCCATAATCATAACCCCAAACTCAACTTCCTTCCCACCAGCCAGCATCTCCGGCTCATCAGCCAAGATCTCGGAGATGGTCTTCCCCGCAACCGGCTTGCGCTTATACAGGATCTTGATCTTGTCCAGTGGAATCTTGTTTGACTGAGCGTCGACCACACGGCCCCGCACTGCATCCTTGAGGTCCTGAACAGAAGTCGTGGAGATAGGCTTGTTGGAAAGCTTGAATTCAAGGACGGGATTCCGCGCGGATTTTAAGTTCACGGTGATTGATTTGGCGGAGCCGGGGGCTTGAGCCTGTTTCACTTTCTTGGGCATTTCAGGGTGAGGGGCTGGCATGCGGGGGAGGAGGAACTGGTTTGAGACATGTTTAGTATGGAAATCATTGCTTGGGCAGCTGGGTTCTGATGTCTGAGGTAATATACGTACAGGGACTCGCCCGACTCGTTCTGGATCAATGACATAGTCGGCGGGGAGCTTAATGGGGCGTGAGTCGAGGGAGGTGAGGAATGATTTGATGAAGTTGGCTTCTGCCATGGCGGCCGCGGGTCCGGATGTGTACATTTAAAAGTGATTGTATAAAGGTGAGGAAGACAAAACGAGCTATTTGATGCTGTGTCACATTCAGTTAGACATCCCGCATTTTGCCCGATTGGGTTGGTGGTGAAGCTGACTTGCGCTATCGTGTTTCTGCCTCAGGCACTATAGAAAAGCTGGGTTCCCGCTTACACCGCCTGCCAGGAAACTTATCTGCCGATATTGACCGCCCGGAGAAAAAAAAAGTGAAAGGTAAAAAAAAGTTTAGATTCTTTTGGAGAACATACAGTGCTATACCCTCTTTTTTCTTGTTTATTCACCCACAATACACCACTTGTCGCAATGGGTAGGGGTCGTCGTATGAAGAAGCAGGGCCCTCCGGCCCCGCTCGATGAGTCTAAGATTACTATGCTTAAGAAGCGCAAGGCTGGTGAGACTGTATCAAAGGCGGAAGCGGGCAAGAAGCGGAGAAGAGCCGAAGTTGAAGAGGAGCCTTTGAAGGAAGCGCCGAAGAAGAAGGTCAATGCGGCTGTTAATGGCAAGAGCAAGAAGGAGGTTGCTGTGCCGGAGACTAAGGGCAAGAAGAAGGCTGCGGAACAGAAGAAGCCCACGTTCATGGACTCGAGCGATGAGGAGGAAGATGAGGAGATGTCGGATCTTGACAATGAGGAAATGCTGGATGATGAATTCGGTGATCTCGATGGTGTTAGCGATGGCTCAATGGATAGCCAGGATGAGGACGATTCAGAAAATGATGATGACTCGATTATGGACTCGGACGAAGAAGACCATCCACGCCAAGCGATGTTCTCCGATGACGAAGATCTTTCTGACGCGGAAGAGAAGTTGACGGCAGCCAACATTGAGGGATTGTCCCGGAAATTGGATTTGGAGAAGGAAGCTGAAGAGGAAGAGGCAGAGCGCGAATTGCAGGAATCCGCCATGCAGACAAACATCGCTGGAGACCGTCCAGACGTGTTTGCGGACGGTGAAGGATCTCGTCCAGGCCTAGCTCCTGACCTGCAGCTGCTCCGTACAAGAATCACAGACACCATTCGTATTCTTGGTGATTTGAAGACACTCGGACAGCCCGGAAAGTCCCGTACCGATTACGTATCGCTTCTTTTGGACGACATCTGCACTTACTACGGATATACCCCCTTCCTTGCAGAGAAGCTGTTCAACCTTTTCACACCTATGGAGGCTTTCGCCTTTTTCGAAGCCAACGAAACCCCGCGTCCTGTCGTCATCCGTACCAACACACTGCGCACCAACCGTCGTTCTCTGGCCCAAGCGCTCATCAACCGTGGTGTTGTGCTCGAGCCCGTTGGCAAGTGGTCCAAGGTTGGTCTTCAAGTATTCGAGTCTGCCGTCCCTCTTGGTGCCACTCCAGAGTACCTCGCTGGTCACTACATTTTGCAAGCTGCATCCTCCTTCCTCCCCGTCATGGCATTGGCGCCTCAGCCTAACGAGCGAATCCTCGATATGGCCTCTGCCCCCGGTGGTAAGACTACATATATCTCCGCATTGATGCGCAACACAGGTTGTGTGATCGCCAACGATGCCAGCAAGCCCCGTGCCAAGGGTTTGATCGGTAACATTCACCGTCTCGGCTGCAAGAACACCGTCGTGACCCACCTCGATGCCCGTACAGCCTTCCCCAAGGCCATGGGTGGTTTCGATCGTGTCTTGCTCGATGCTCCCTGTACCGGTACCGGCGTTATCTCCAAGGACCCTGCCGTCAAGACCTCCAAGACCGAACGCGACTTCCTCGCCATTCCCCACATGCAGCGCCAGCTGCTTCTCGCCGCCATCGACTCCGTCGACCACTCTTCTAAAACAGGTGGTTACATCGTCTACTCTACCTGTAGTGTAACAGTCGAGGAGAACGAGGCCGTCGTTCAGTATATCCTGCGCAAGCGCCCCAACGTGAAGATCGTCGACACCGGTCTGGGTGACTTCGGTAGCCCCGGTTTCAAGGAATACATGGGCAAGCACTTCGATGCTAAGATGACCATGACCCGTCGCTACTTCCCTCACCGCGAGAACGTCGACGGTTTCTACGTCTGCAAGTTGAAGAAGACCGGACCCAGCCCCACGGACAAGAAGCCCGAGGGTGAAACCGCCTCCGAGCCCAAGTCCTCTGAGGCTCGCGCTACCCCTAAGTCCGACGACGAAGACGTCATTGACAAGACCCCCATCACTGATGATGACGGCAACGTCATGGAAACCGAGGGTGGCTCTTTCGGCCCCTTCGAGGAAAACGATGACGCTGATCGCATCGCCCGCGCCGAGCGCAACCGTCTCCGCAGAAAGGGTATCAACCCCAAGGCCGTCCTCAATAAGCCTAGCAAGAAGTCGAAGTCCGAGCCCGAATCCACAGACGTATCCAAGGACTCCGACTCCTCTGCACCGGGACCGGAGAAGAAGAAGACTACTACCACCACCACTCCCGAGAAAGCAAAGAAAGCACAGAAGAACACCAAGCCCAAGAGCCAAGAGTCTACCACCCCGGAGAAGAAATCCGAAGGCTCTACCCCTGAAAAGAAGAAATCCAAATCTCAAGCCTCTACGACGGACAAGAAGAAGGCTAAGAAGTCGACCAAGTAGTTATGATGCGTCTTCATTTACTATTTAATACCTGTGTATATTTCTTCTTCTGATCCCTGGATTTGTGTCAAGATGGCTTGTTGAATGAATGAAATATAAAAGCATCTGTTTTTCATTTCTGCTTTCTCTCATTGTTGGTGTGGGTGGCGCATGTGTGCTTTGAATGTTGACTCTATATGATATGCGTTTTATTATTATACTAGATAGGTGGTGAGTTCAATAGATACCATGACATATCCATGTGATTTTCTTCGGGATATTTTGTGTAGTGAGCACTAATTGACATGCGTATATCAATTGGCACTGGCTTAAAGTCTATGCACATTCTGGATTTGGGAAGCTTGTAGCAACAAGAGTCAAGCGGTACAATCAAAAATGTCTGGTCTAAAATCTCGTGTATCTCGTATATTGACTTCGCAAAAATTGAAAGAATGAACCAAAAATGATAGTGGATATAGATATAAATGCGGAACACATCCATGAACCCCCCGGGTATGCCTTATTCTCCAATGCAACAAAAAGGAAACGATATAATTATATTCATCGACAAGGTCCCGCTACGTCTTGTAGATCTTGACGACGCTGATAATGTTCTTCCGACAGATCGGACAGATCTCCACCTGGCGTGCGCAGGTGACACAGGCACAGACGTGGCCGCAGTCATAAAACAGGGCATCTTGCTCTTCGCAGTAACAGATCTGACACAGATCCATTTCTTCGTCGGCTACTTCCCAGTAGCTGATACCTTTTCCGTGACGCTTACCATCTTTGTAACCGCCCACATACTTGTTGCCTGTCTTCTTCTCGACGAAGGTGCCCTGGCCATGGCACTGGTTCTCGAACCAATCGCCGTCATATGTATCGCCAATGGGATACTCCATGAATCCCTTGCCGTGACGCTTTCCGAGGACGAAATCCCCATCGTAGGTAGCGGCTGAATCAGAGACGTGCTTTCCTTTACCATGGTAGTATCCTTTGCTCAATTCACCGCTAAAAAATTCATTGGTGAATGACGCTTCGATAGTCTTGAACCCGGTGAATGCCTTGGTGGGGTGGTTGCGGGATTTAGCCCACAGATACCGCACCAGCTGATCAGGGTTGGCAAGTAAACCTTGCTGGTTGAGCTTCAAACGTCTAAGGCGTGGCTAGATTAGTACATTGTTGGGTATGACATAAAATGGGAAAGTCTTGACTTACTTGTCCTTGTTCAGCTTGTCTCCGACAATGAAGCAAGTGCCATCGGGCACGAACACCTCAAAGGTCTCGGCAGAGGACATAGTTGTCACCGTAGTGCCATCCACGCGCTGCCAGACCTGGAAATCCTTGGTCACGGGCCATTGCAAGTGCTTCCGCACTGCAGCCTTGATAGTCTCTTCCTTCTGAGAGAAAAATGACCCGACAGTCCGCAAAGCCTGCGCCTCCACATCGAAAACTTGGATGAAATAATACACATGGTCCACCGGTGAAGCGGGCTCTAGCTCCATTGGAGGAGTAGAAACATCACCAGTTGTAGAAGACTCTCTGATTTCAATAGCTTGGGGTACGCTCGTGACATCGTTGGTTTGCGAATTGTCAGTTGATTGCTCCGTTTCCATCTGTTGGATATCCCCAGCGATAATTGCGGCAATGACAGCATCATTTTCAGCCCCATTAGGGGTGTCATTTTCGGGATGACTTGTCTCCAGTGATGCTGCAGCACCTTCACCCGAGCTCTCGGTAACACTATTATTAGGGTGTTCAGAAGAGGTTTCTGCAGTCACAACTTGCACAGTGTCCTCCACGCGAGGCGCGGTGCCAGATGGTCCCGCCCGTCCAGCTTCAACCTCAGTAACAGATTGCTGATCATCAGAGGAATCGGAGTCTTCACGTTCGAAAACAGCCTCTTCAGGCTTGTTCTGTAGGACTTCCACTTCCCGTGGATCTGCCATGGCAAAATACTTCGCGTCCACTATCACAAGATTAGTATCATCTTTGTCTAAGAGGGTGTACATGATACTCACCATCTGAGACCACTTGTATCCAGAAACGAGCTGTCTTCACGGGAAGATTCAACGTGGTTCTTAGGTCTGATACACGAGAAAATGCGAGTGTAGGACCGAACCGGTCGCGAGTATGCCCAATCTGCCAGAGGCGAACATGCTCTGGACCTGTCTGATCTTGGGCGCCTGCAGAAGCCCATAAAGCGATCTTCTTGCGCAGCTCGATGAGGTTCGTTGACCGAGGCACTGTTAGGTACATGACTTTGTTGGCTGCCTTCGCCTGCGACATCAGATCGTATGTGTCGAACAAGCTGTCCAGCTTATCATACTGCGGAGCAGCGTAGACTTCGACCTGAATATCCTCCGTTGCCTTTCCATGAGGCGATTCTACGTATGGATGAATTCCACGCTCGTAATATTCTTTCATGGCTGGAGGCGCATCCCATGGCCCTTGAGGGCCCGGTAGGTACTGTGACACCAAGTCACTGCGGATATACGTCACTGCAATGGCGACATCGTGGCC